GTTGCTCGCTGCTGTCGTTTTTTGCAGCGCCTGGATGTGTCCCGCTGTCACCTCCTCTCCCCTGCTGCTCTGCTTCCTCTCGGTGCTGTGGCTTTTACTCCATCCTCTTCCAGCTCCATCAGCTCATCCTCCGTTTCCTCTACCTGGTCTCCTCTCCCACTCAGCAGCCTGTTGGCTCTGGATATTGGGTTTGGGGAACAGGAGGAAGACTCTACCATGGCAGCAGCCTATCTCCTTCTGTCCCTGCCTTTCTTGGAAAGTGTAGCACTGGAGGGCGTAGGACCAGCTTGCCATCTCATTGATCAGAGACAGTTCAGCCAGGGTGATGAGTTTACCAACAGGGAAGGAGTTTCCAGGCTGCATGATGTGTGGAGGGAAAGGATGCTCAGACAGGGCACGGAAAGCTGGATGAAGACGAAGGAAGGAGGGTCTGCTGATGATGGAGAGGAGAGTGAAGAGGTGAGGAGCTCGTTCTTGGAGGAGTGTGGCTGTGAATCTGCAGAAAATGTCATCGAAGATGACCTACCTTCTTGCTTGAAAACCCAAACAGAAGAAGGGAAACACGGTTTGTCCCAGTCAGGCCTGATCCTGCAGCTAAGAGATGTTAAAGGTGTAACTTGTGAGTCTCTGGGGAGTTTAGGGAATTTGTGTCCCAGCTTAACGTCTCTATCCATGAACTTAGACAAACATGAAGATATAGGTGGAAGGAGCCAAGGATCCCTGTTGACTACTAATCTTCAGACCTGGTCAGGTCAGCTGCAGAGTCTTTCCTTCATCTACTCTGGCCAAATGGTGGATCTTCTTCCTGCCTTACAAGTTTCAGGTTGCTCCCTAATCTCTCTGACGTTGGAGGGGGTGAAAACCAGCCCTCACAGCCCACTGCTGCAGCTCATTAGAGTCTGCCCCAGACTCAGAGACCTCCTTATTTCTGCTGAGCCTCCTGTTACACCACAGCACCAGACCAACGATAACCAACAGGATGATCAAGATCTACCAAAGCTGCCATATCTCCGCTCTCTCAAGCTCTGGTAATTTTCTCTTTGAGTCACTTCTCTGAATTATTGTTTCTTTTATAAACTTCACATACAGGCAAAGCTAAAAAATACATTACAGACAGACTCAGAAACATTTCACAAGCAATTTGGATATATCTTAGTCATACTTTACTGTTGCTCAACATGTGTAAACTGTTCTCTGACAACCAGTTAAAATAATATTTTAATGTTCTTTCAATTTAAAGAAATCACATGAAAGTTAAGTTGGGTGGCAGATTGGATTTTCATTTATTTTTTTAATCTTTTCTTTTACTTTCTGAGAGCAAATTTTGCATTGATATGACATCATCCCCAAAGTAATTCAATACTAAATTCACAATTTCTTGCAAACTATTTCCTCTCTGTTGAATCTCTCATAAAATCTGAGGTTAGAAGCATAAATAACAATTTATTTGGGGCGATTTTTTTGTCATAGACCAGCACAAACTGCATAGTAAAGATAGACATGGTTTTGAATGTTTTATTTTTATTTTTTTTGGAATACCTTGCTGAAAGCTTTGCACATCTAAAGACCAACATCTTTGGCCAGTCTTGAAAAAAACAGCTCAATCTTACACAGACTGAACTAAGAGCATCTCTAAACAATTTTAAATGTCTTGCAATAAATATTTTTGTTGGATTTAGCTCTTTACTGTCTTGGCAATTCCAAATCATGAATATGAGTTGATCTAAAGAATTTGTTGTGGCTGCATGTTTAAGGTTGACTTTTATAAGCAGCTTTGAAGACTTTAGCTTTTTAAATACACTTTGTTTTATTTCCAGCTACCTTGCCATTAACTCCTTCCTGACAGTCACTGCCGATGTACAGCTGCACAATCTGTTCTAAATATATTGCTCATTTTAATATTAGAATATGCTGATGGAATAACATTTACATATAGATTGCCACTGTAATGTTCAGGCTGTTGAATTGCGTGTAGCTGCTGAAGTTTCCACATTAACTGCATAACCAAGAGGCTAAAGTTCACATTCTGCTCAAAGCACTCCTCAGAGAAGGAAGAAATGTTGATTTATGGCACCTGATGTAGTTATAGCAATGCTCACTATTAGCTTTGCCAACATCACCTTTCCAGTATCGTGCTGCCTTGGGTCCACACAGTGCTCTGAGAGATGTCCAAAGGTTGGGATATTGTTTTATAACCCAACCTAATGCATCTCCAGAGCTTTGTCCCAGACATTTCCGCCTTGTTCATTTTTTTTACAAGGCTGTTTGCTCACTTATCTTCCTTAACGAAGCTCAGAGGCCTTTAAAGAACAGCTGTTTTCAGTTTCAGCTGTTTTTATTCAAGTGTTAGAGTTATAACTGCACATGCATGCCACACTTTTCAGCTTTTAACTTGTAAAAATAAATTATACATGACTATCCTACTCAGTATTTTATGTGAGTCTATAAAAAAAAACTCTGGATAATTGTTTTTTGTTGTAAAATATCAAAATATGGAACATTTCTACAGCAATACTTTTGCAAAGCTTTGCACAAAGTACTGATTTTGACATTTATTATTCCTTTCATTTGAAGTCTTTAATATGTAAACAGGGCTTTCCATCTGACATTATATAAACAGTATATTATACCACATGAACTGGAGAATAAAATATAAAATTTTGGTTCCTCCAGCTATTTTTTTTTTTCTGCACCAGGAAAGTTTCACTTTACTAATCTTTTCTATTGGTGTCTCTCAAATCTCTGCAGTTTTTCCTATGAGCACAATCAAATGAAGCCCTTCATGTCCTGGATGTCCCTAAAGCAAGTGATCAAATGTGTCCTGATTGGTTCTCCTTTACTGGAGAAGCTCTCCTTGATCTCCCTTCCTTGCCCTGTGAACTGCGTCTTACAGGACACCATCCAAAGAGCTAACACGGATGCAAGTCACTGTTCCGATTCCACTGCCTTACCACCACTGCCGCTTGGAAGGATAGAGCATATTGACCTGCTGCGAACAGATGTGCAGATGAGCACTGTGAAAAGCATGATGCAACTGAGCAAGAGGCTCAAGTACGTGGATGTGAGCTACTGCTGGCGGATCAGTCAGCGTGAGTGGCTGGACTGCCGCAGGTTCAGACAAGTTGAAGTTGTCTGGGTGTAAAAAGAGGGCAGGATTCTAAGACTGAAGCCCAACTTAAAGGTGGGTGAGCAGGACTTTTATTATATGAATAAACCCAAAGCACATTTTACACTTTAGATTCTATATTTGAAAAATCTCTATTTGATCTTTTGACTTCACTGTTATAAAAAACTATAATTCTGTTTCATTGACTGTATTGTTCTTTTTGGTTTACTTGCTCCAGATTTCTAATATGACTGAAAATCTAAGATGAAAAGTGTTTAAGAAATCTGTTTTAGAAAGTGCACTTTGTTTCTCCTTCTTTTATTAAACTATGACAATAAATTCCATTAGAGTGGATGCAATAATGGCTCATGTCTTAGTGTTCACTTGTCATCTGGTTGAACAAGTCAATGCATAGAAATTTGTACTCAAACTGCTATATTTTCTGTTGTAATTTAGCAATCTGAAATATTCTGTTTAGATAAAAATATTTAGAAAGGATTCATAATTCTAACCTTTGGCAGATTATCCTCATCCAACCGTAGCATCCAAGTTAAAACCTGCTTTTGATATAGGTAATGATCTCCAAGACAGATTTTTTTTCCCCCTGTTCTTATACTGATCAAAGCATTTTGATAACAGCACTGGTCAATAGAGGGTGATGGTTCTATATTGTCTTCTATACAATGCCATGTATTTTTATGTAAATGTAAAGTGCAGTAAAATAGCACAAAATTCTAAAATTACATTTGACTTAATTATCTAATTAGTGATCGCCCAATTACTATTGAGCCTGTTTTAATTAGATAATCTAATCCCAAAGGACTACCTGCAAGGCAGTGGTTTGTTTATAAAGATATATTGTCTCTGTAAAGTGCCTTGAGATGACATGTGTTGTGAATTGGCACTATATGAATAGACTGAATTGATATCTGACTTTAAACATATGCTGGTAAAAATGTCTTAAGTTAGGAATGTTTGTTAAAGAGCTAGGTTAATATTACACATATTAATATTAAGTCCAGTTTTACTTTTTATACAACTTGTTTGTAATTTGACTGTTAATATTTTTGAATATAATTCTTGTTATATGTGCAAAATTAGTATTTCTGCTGCTTTCTATGCAGTATTTCCTTATACTGGCAGCTCAGTATGCATCTATCTCTTTCCTCACTAGCAATGTGCTGCTCTTTCTGGGGGATCACAAAGTGATTATATCCAGACAAATTTGAGGTCTGCTTAACGTATGGTTCACAATTTTTTAAAGCCTCTTTTTCAACAATATAACCAGCTACATATATTCATAAAGGTTTTACAGTTGTTTTTTTTATTTTTCTCTTCACAATAAAACTACAAAAAAATTTATCTGAAAAAATAGTTTGCATTCTAACTTATTTTTAAAATTTGAATAAAGCCACCAGGCCATGTAAAATAAGAATGTATAGTCTGATATGTCAGTTTATGTTTTGCACGAAATATATAATAAATATAAGAATACAGTCTGTGCCTTAACCTTCCATGACATTCAATTTATATATATATGTGTGTGTGTATTTTTTTTGGCTGTATGTCATTTAAAAAACACAAAATAGTGGAGAAAAACATAAGTTAAAATGTCTGGGGAAACAGCGGAATTTTAGTAAAAATCGATTTAACAGTTTGTACCTTCAGAGTTTCCGTATTTCCTATTCGACGCAACAAACGCAGTTCGCCGGGACCGTGTGCTTCTTTTTGATGCTTTGATGCGGCGGAGCTGTTAGTTGAAAAGATCTCAGCGAGACACTGTGGGGTTAGAAATATACAAACAACGTACAGGAAGTGGAACCATGAAATATATAAGCCACAAACTCCATCTGAACTATGGTATATAGTTATATGTAGGCATTTTATATAAAAATTTAGCTTTGACCGCATACCGGTATACCCGGATATAGTAATCAAGCGCACCCTGCACACGTTACACGTCACTTAGCAAAGCAGTGCCAGTGTAAGTTAGCCAGCGGGAGCATCTGGATATCTTCCCTGGAAAGAAACTACCTTTATTGTGAGTCTTAACATGATATAATAACTTAGAAAATCACTACCAGAAGAGTAACGGATAGTTTAATTGACAATATTCTGTCCCTCTCCGCTCTTTTTATTCTCATACTGTAATCTACGATACTCTCGGAAGGAATATGGGAAGGCTCGCATAATCAGACATTAACTTCTTGCTTGAAATTTAAAATTCTTAATTTCCCTGTCATTGTTCCATTACGAGCTTAAGAGAAGCTATAAATGATAAATTTCCGCCAGTTTATCCATTTGAATTGAGAAAAGTGTGAGAGCAGTTTAAACTATGGGCCTTTTTACAGCTGGAAGGTCCTGATATTAATAGCTAGCTAATGTTTATCTTTATGTTTTTTGCTTCACCTCCTTCTTGAAGGTCAAAATGATGGGTGAACGTCGGATAATGGAGCAGTGGAGTCAGCCAAATCTGGTTTCCTAAAAAGACTGATGCATAATAAAGCAAGGAGACAATCTTCAACATGGGAAGGTTTGTTTGAACAGCTGTTTTGTATTTTATTTTTTTCTGCAGCTTTGTCAAAGGGTTACATGTAGTGTCTTGAAAAAGATTTCAGTTACATGTCTGTCGGTCTCCGCCAGTCACGTGACATTTGTTGCTAAGACGCAATTTTTGGTGGAAAAGGCGTAGTGTAAACAACCACAGCATAGCTAAACGAAGGACTAAAGGATTGAGTTTGTTTCTCTGACTATATGGAAAAAAGTAAGCAGAATGCGAAATTACCGTACAGGTGTCGTGCCAAGGTAGTTATCCCTGCGAAAATTTGTATTCCCTGTATGAAAAAGCTGGGGCCTTTTTTGTCTGATTGAGACAGGGGGAACAGATTATAGCAGGTGGCCTGCTATAATTTGTTCCTTATAACTTTATGAAATAAAGGTCAATCACATCCAAAGTGTCAGGGGTTAGTTGTCATCATAAAAGATGCTTATAAGTCAAAAATGAAAAAGCTGGGGCCTTTTTTGTCTGATTTAGACAGGGGGAACAGATTACAGCAGGTTTTATTTCATCCCATACTGCCATTTCTGGCAAAATGGGATGAAATAAAACGGCTGCTGTTAGAAGACAAACTGTTTATTAAGGATAGTACAACATAGATAAATTGTACGTTACTATAAACACAGATATAGATTTAAGTACTAAATTTCAACCAGGAAAAAATTATTTCCTTCTGCATATAGTCTTTAATGATTACACATGCAGTCCATTTTCTATTTCATTTTTATTACAAGTATATGGTTTACAACAGCTTTCAATGGGATGAGAACATTTGGATACTGTGAAACAATGAGAGATTTTTTTAATGAACATGTGGAAAAGAACAAGGATCTGTTTGCTTTCAGAGGGAGGAGTAGACACTGCTGTCAGCGACCAGCTTTCAAGCAAACGTTTGTGTTTTATTATTAGTTTTAGATCAATATCACTGGCGATATTCTGCTATAACATGTGAAGTAAAGAATAAAACAGTAAAGCTCAACTTTCATACACGTAAAACCTTTCAAATTTCAAGTTCTGCACGTTGGAATTGAAGCGGAGTTAAGTCGGGTTGTTCTTCCTACTCCGTGCGCGCTCCCGACGAGGGGATACAAATTTTCGCAGGGATAACTACCTTGGCACGACACCGGGACTGGCAGCCTCTCACACAACACGATCGTGTCATTTCTGGTAAATAATTGTGCCGAAAGAACAGCCGCGTGTGGGTTATCTCGACTTTCCACCTAATATGGTGGTTTTCCCACGATGCACCGCGCCCGAGGTAAACAATGACGTCACCTGGCGCAGACCGATTGATGTTTTTGGACTACTTAATTTAAAGACCAAAAACAAATAGTGTTATTTGAAAAGTGGAAAAGTTTGACAGCTTTCTATTTTAATGTTTAAAAATTTAGGAAATCATAAAAAGGTTATAGAGCTCTCTTTGTTATGGTTAGGGATAGACCAGCTGATATGTTTTTTTTTTCTTATATCTACATTGAGCATTTGCTCTCCAGTTAATCAGTGCATTCAGCACCAATGGCTGCCTTGAGATCAGGTGAAGCTGAGAGCTGCCTACATTTCATCCCTTGTTAATTCTTTTTTTATGTGTTAATATCTTAGTTTTGTTGAAATTGATACTTGTGTTACTTTTGTTGTTATTGTCTATTATTTGTAATGTAAATCAGGGGTCTTCAACGTTTTCCAGGCTAAGGACCTGAATTGTTCTAAAAATATAATCAGCTGTCCGTTTTGTGGATCAGTTAGACTGTGATCTGTTTTGTCTTAAAAGTCCTGTAGGAGTCAAATTCTAGTTGTGATGGCCCAAAGTAAAATCCAGCACTACTACTTGTCTTCAGGGGTCATAAAATCAGTATATGTAGTAAAATTGTTTATTAATATTGATGCCAGTTAGAATGTGCTAAGAGGCCCAAACGGTAAAGCTTTAGGAACTGCATGTAACCAAAGCTCAGGTGTAAAAAGAATAACTGATGGTACAGTGCAGCAAACTGATTTGCTTATATTTAAAGTACACATAATACACTATGTGTATAAGGGGAAACTATACTGTTGAACACCATAAAAGCCCACCATTTGCAAAAGGGATACATCGTTCTCTGGGGATGTTTTTTTTCTTAGCTGGGACAGCAAAACAGGTTAAAACTGTTGGAAGGATGGCTCGGACACGCATGATAATCATAATAGACTGCAGAGTCCCTGATTCTGTGGCAGAGGATAATTTTACTGCAGAATGGTCTAAAATATACATCCAGAGTCTTTATGAAACAGTTTAGATCATGGCTAATTCAATATAAGTTTTGTCTAGTTATTTTGCTCCTTCAAGCTTCACAGCATGGTAAAGTTATATTTAAAATAACCTTAGCATCTCATAAATGTAAGAATTAAGCATAGATGCTAAGAAAAAGTGCTTTTAGAATACACGCCCCTACAGATTGTTTTTTTTTTTTTTTAATTAAAAGATATTCAAGAGACTCAAATAGAGACTCAAACAGCAAGGAAAAGCAGAGTGAGCAGAGCATTTGCCTGTTTTCTTATAGATAATATGAACCTAGCTTAAGTCAGGATTCTGAGCATCTTTAAAGTACCCATGTTTGCTCTCATGATTCCATTTCCAATAGCAAACTTTTATTTTAGCCATGCTCTGCAATTCTGTCAATTTATCTTTGAAGCTTCTCCTGCTGATGAAATTAATTAGAGAACCTCTTAAAAATGTAGTTATGAACATGCTGCTTTCATTGTAGTAACACTGTCAAACTGACATCCCTTTCTTTAGTACATAGCTGACATCTAGTGGGCTCTCCTATATATTAAAAATGCATCACAATCAAAACTGTACAAACACACACATATGTGGCTCACTAACCTGAGTGCAGGCTGCCCATGCCGGGCTGCTGGTTTAGATCAGAGAAAATTCATGTCTTAAAATAGTCTTACTCAATGTCCAGACTTAAATAAAGCTGAGGATTTCTGGCAAAACAGGAAAATGTTCATCCTCAGACACTCTCTGCCTAATCTATTTGAGCTTTAGTTGGTCTTATGTGATGTCTGGGAAAATGTTTGAGTTTTCAGATGTGCAGAGACGGCACTAAAGATGGAGGGTAGTTAGAGAGATTGATCAAAGGACTTAATTGCAATTGTACGGAATGTTCAAAAATGTTTGAATCTATGCCGTGGATTTTCCTTCTACATTTCAGTCATCCACCACTTTGTTACATAACATAAAACATACCGGTAATACACTGAAGTCTCTCATTGTAATGTAACCAAATAATGAAAGGTTTACCAGTCATGAATATATTTGTAAAACATCTCATATTTAATATCCAGGCACAAAGCGTTGACGCCCTCATGTTTTTTTTTTTTTATTTGTTGAACAGGATCGGCTTCTCATGCCTTTTCCCAGCATCATGGCACTTCAGCCTGTCACCCCAGGCTCTTCCTCGGCTCCTGATTCCTTCCCTCAGACAGCTGCTCTTCATCAGCCTGGTGCTCTGCCTCATAGGACTGTTCTACATGCTGCTTATTGCTATGAAGACACACACCAGCTGGACTGGAGAAGAAAACCCTTTCCACCGGTACTCTTTAGTCAGAACTGGAATTTATGTGGGTTCCATAGAGTTTCTGTTTACTTGATCTTAAATATTTCTCTCTCAAAAGGCACCTGGCGAGAGTTACTGACTTGGACGAGACGGATACAAGCAATCCTAACCTGAACTATGGCCTGGTGGTGGACTGTGGCAGCAGTGGCTCCAGGGTATTTGTGTACTGCTGGCCGCGGCACAACGGTAATCCCAGAGAACTGCTGGACATACGGCAGATGAGAGATCAGAACCGCAAGCCAGTGGTCATGAAGATCAAGCCTGGTGAGACGTTTACTGATCAACTACTTCAGGAGGAACTTTAGAGAAATGTTTCACCATACTTTTACTGTGGACGTAAAAAATGTAGTTGTATAGCATAAGGCAGATGTTATCCCTGTTTACTAAAAGCTTACCCTTCTTGTATGTTGTCTAAAGGCATAGCCGAATTGGCTAAAACTCCAGAGAAGGCCAGTGACTACATCGATCCGCTTCTGAGCTTCGCAGCTAAACACGTTCCCAAACATAAGCACCAGGAAACACCCCTGTACATCCTGTGCACAGCTGGGATGAGAATCCTACCAGAGAGGTAAAGACGGGTCCAACAGAGATGTTACAGTGATAGCGATTAAAGCTGACTTTAAAACAAAAAAAGAAAATATTTTCGTGTTTTTATCCCAGTCAACAGGAGGCCATTCTGGAAGATCTGCGCACAGACATCCCAGTTCACTTCAATTTCCTCTTCTCTGATTCCCATGTGGAGGTCATTTCTGGAAAACAAGAAGGTAAATTTAACGGCTGTATTTAATTCTTAGTTCAACACAACTTTAAATATGCTGTAATAATAAATACAATAAACTACTTTATTTAAAACATCTGTTTTTATGTGTTTTAGGTGTCTATGCATGGATTGGAATAAACTATGTCCTCGGGAGGTTTAACCATGAGCACAAAGGTGAGGATCTGCTCAGCTGTAAAAAAAGGCTTACATGTAGTGCCTTAAAAAAAATGTTATACCGAGTAATTTAAGAAAACAGAAAATTAGACAATTTCTAGTAGCCATTTATTAGCCCTGCCAAGGAGGTTTCGTTTTTAGTCGAGTTTGTGTGTTTTGTCTGTCTGTCTGTTTACAGGTTAACTTGAAAAGTTATGAACGGATTTTAGTGAATTGCCCAAGGAACATTCCATTAAATTTTGGTGATAATCCACATCATAATCCGGATGCAGGGATCTTTTAAGGATTCTTTCAGATTATTTGACGGAATAAGCATTCCCCCCCCAAACCACAGATTGACTATTGACAGCTTCAGCATCTAACTCAAAAAAAGTCCAGAAGTTTTATACTGAAGACAAAAACACAGGAAAGTTGAGCCATGTCTCGCTCAACGTCTCCATCTGCTGATCAAATAAGAAAGCTGAGAGAATAAACAAGATGAGAGCAGAATAAACACCAGAGGCCGCAGACACGTGCTGTGCCTTATTTAAAACTTTATGAAAGGATTTAAAGGACATTTTTACCAAACGTTCTCCTCATGCCAATGAACAATTCATTAAAATTTAGTAATGATGAAGAAGTCACAATATGGGGGAAATCTTGCAGCTTGGATGAGGTCTGCGATCTCAGAGTGCCTTTCTAGTTTCAAATAAACCCTTTCCAGTCTGAAATCCCATCTCAGGGCTGTTTCTCTTCCCAGATGGAGAAGCTGTGGTGGAGGTACATGTTCCTGGCAGCGACCAGCAGGAGGCGCTGATGAGGAAAAGGACAGCGGGTGTCCTGGACATGGGTGGTGTCTCCACACAGATTGCATATGAAGTGCCCAAAACTGTAAGCTTTGCTTCTCCACAACAGGTTATTATCTTCAATCAATTCTGTCTTGTTCTGTCTTTGGTATTTTGTGGCTTATTTTTTGTTTTTCTCGCTCCTTCCAATCTGTCTCTCCTTGGTTAAAACCTCTATGAACCATTTTATCCTGTGGAGATGATCTGCTCTCCACCATCACTGTCAGAAATCACTGTAAGGCTGTTTGTAAACATCCAAACTAAGATTAGGTTCCATTTCATTTTGGTTTTGTAAGTGTTAAAAGTATGATGTGTATATATCATCATATTATGAAGCATAAAATGTACACATTTCCATGTTCGCAGTGCCTTTGTTACTGAAGTTGAAGAAAAATAATGTTTTTTTTTTTAAGTCCAGCATATTAACATTTTGATGTTTAATACTCTGCTGTTATTCTGTTTGCATGTAGGAGATTATTGATCCCAGATCTCATGTATTCTGCAGCCTTTATCCACATGCTAGCTTTGTCCCCGTCGTGGGTAAATGTTTCCTCTCATCCCTTCCTGTAACACTTGTCATCTTTTGGCTACTCTGCCCTCAAGGCCAGATTTGTAATATGCACAACCAATATTTGTCGTAATAGACATCTCCACTTAAAGGGAAACGCCGTTTTTTTTACATTGGGCCCTTAATTTTACATTACTACATCATGTTCTACTCACCCATATGAGTTTTGTGTCATTTGGAGCCGTTCTGAAGATATTCCGTTAGGTTATATCCAAGTAACGTCTTCTTATGGGCAAACGATGAAGAGATGACGTCATACACACTCCGCTTTGTTTTTAAAAGATATAAATATAAATAATATAACCGCGGATGTCTGGGGGACAGTGATTCGCCTACAAGTTATGAATGCTGGCGTACCATAGAATAAATTATGAACAGTTTAGTTTGTGCCTTCAAGTCGTTTGCCCAAAGGAAGACGTTACTTGGATATAACCTAATGGAATATCTTCAGAACAGTTCCAAATGACACAAAACTAATATGGGTGAGTAGAACATGACATGAAAACCTAATGTTTCTTGTATTTTATTTGTAATAAACTTTGAAGACCATATCATATTTTTCTTCCACTTCATTTGTTGCTCTATTACCTAAAATACTGAAGAAATCCTGACAAGTTGTGGAAGCATTTCAGATATGATCCCACAGGCTCACTTGTGTGTCTTCCATAGGAGGAAGTGGCCAAAAACTTGCTTGCAGAATTCAACTTGGGATGTGATGCCCACGTCACTGATCATGTTTATCGAGTTTACGTGTCTACCTTTCTGGGTTTCGGGGGAAACGCTGCACGCCAAAGATACGAGGAGAGCCTCATCAGAAACACTGCAGCTCGGAATAAGTGAGGCACAGTTCTGCTCTGTCCTTACCTTCATGGTTTTTAGCTTTCAATGCTCAATTGTTTAACATTATTTTATCCACCTTTCCAGGCTCCTAGGTGAGCATGTCGGTGAGACGGCGGAGTCTCCCCTCCTGGACCCTTGTCTTCCCTCTGACCTGCAGGATGAGATCGGGCCGCCGACACAGAGGCTCCACCTCCGAGGAACGGGAGACTTTGACGAGTGCAGACAGATTCTCCAGCCGTTCCTCAACAGAACAAATGACACCCAAACCTCCCTGAGTGGCATCTACCAGCCAGCGATTGACTACAGCAACAGCCAGTTTTATGGTTTCTCAGAGTTCTACTACTGCATGGAGGACGTGCTGCGAATGGGCGGGGATTATAATGCTTCCAAATATGCCCAGGCTGCCAAGGTAAACACTGTAGGAAAAACCTATTAATAATCTAAAACTACATAAAGTTTCATCTTCTATGACCATGTCTTTAAAGGGTATAGCTTTAAACCTGGTATAGGTCGATAGAAAAGAATAGTCTTTAAAATTAGGGCTGCAACTAACAATTATTTTGCAAATTCATTAATCTGTTGATTATTTTTTCAATTAATTGATTAATAATCAGATAGCCAAAGGTTCCTTAAAGTAGTTTTTTTAATTAATTTAAACCAGGTGAAACAAACATTCCCACTTGCAGAATTCTGGATAGAGCATATTGACAGAAATATTTTTTTTTAATCATAAATACAAAACGTTAATATATTTATTTTACAATCTTGGTATAGTTGCTTCTCTAAATGGGTCGCTCTGTCAGCTAAATTCATGTTTTAGAGTCTCTAAATTCCAGTTAAGGATTAATCAATTACTAAATTAGTTGACGATTATTTCAATAATCGATTAATTAATAATTAATCAGATTAAATATTTTAGTCCTAATTAAAATCATCCCTCGTTAAAGAAATTTAGATGTTTTAGCTGCAAGTAAGGGAAAAGTAAGCAGACTAAAAATGCAAAGTACCTGTATTAAAAGTAGGAAACTGAAATAACAGCTAAGTGGATATAGTTTTCCATATCTTGTATATAATAAATTAAAATCTAAATATTAATACCTGTACATTGGTAACCTCCTCGTGTTGGTTTACTATTCACAGGGCTACTGCGCCACCCAGTGGAAGACACTAAAGGAACGATTTGACTCCGGTCTGTATGCATCACATGCAGATTTCCACAGGCTAAAGTATGTGGGATACATTCATATGAGGCTTTCTAAAGCCAACTTACATCAATCATACCAATAAAGCATTGTTGGCTGTACTTACATATCTGCAGGTACCAGTGCTTTAAATCGGCGTGGACTTATGAAGTGTTGCACACGGGTTTTTCCTTCCCAACCACTTACAAAAACCTGAAGACAGCCTTGCTGGTCTATGATAAGGAGGTCCAGTGGACTCTGGGAGCTATTCTTTACAGAACACGGTTTCTTCCTCTGAGGTAAGATAGAAGGCCACATCGCTTAAAAGTAATTCTCTCTCCTGAAGTCCAGTCTGGCTGAGCCAGTTTTTCTCTGAACTGAGATAAAATGTCAGTAAATCCACAGAACTACCTTACCTCACACATGTAGGGAGATGATTAATCGTCAGGATTAGTTGGTGACTGGGACGGATTAGAGAATAGTATAGTCTTTGTTAAAGCTTGAAAATGAGATTGAGCTCACTTGGAATATATGTGAGCAGTTGATTGGACACTTGCTCCAGAAATCTAAAGGATAAAAAGGCTGGTTAAGCTGTTTTTATTATAAACACACAATGTTGTCGTTCCACACTTAGCTGGTGTCGGTTTGTTTTTCTTCCAGGGACATCCCACAGGAGAGCCTGAAAGGAGCACACTCCCACTGGCGACACAACTTCTCCTTCGTCAACAACCACTACTTGTTCCTGGTTTGCTTCTTTATCGTTTTGCTCTCCATCATACTGTACTTGCTGAGGCTTCGCCGCATCCATCGACGTGTGGCTCAGCGTTATACTCCCTCCTCTGTGCCGTGGTTGGAAGAGGGCCTCGGCTCACCTTCTCTCCCAGTAGATCTCTAAACTACAGGCAGCAAAATTAAATATCTCCCTTCTGTTGGACGGTGTGTCTTTTCAGTGACTTTCTCGCATGTCCTACAAGTTCCTGAGCTGGATTAAGAAATGAGGAACAGTTTTCATTGAGAGAGACATTATGGTTGTTAAAGTTGTTTTGCCTACAGCTGCCTTCAGTTGTCTTTTAAGTTTTTTGGGGTTTTTTTTTACAATATAAAACACAAAATAATACTCAGCAGTCTGGTTAACTCACATGTTGAACGTGACTTCACCACACTGGATAAATATATCATAAATACATATGTTTTTACTTTTTTGGCCTTTTTTAAGTGCATTTGGTTATTTATTTTGTCTTTTTTTATTTTTCTCATGGTTGTTAAACAGAATAAGGTACAGAAACATAAAATGCAATATGATTTCTACTTGGCATTGAAAGCACTTTGCACTGCAGTCCAACTGCATGGCCTAGAATGAAGCGATTTATTGTAATTATCCCCTAAACTTGTCTTCATATTTATGTTGGAAAATATGAAGCCTTTAACAACTGTGATAGTGCAATACTTGTCTTGTCACTGCTGGGAATTTCTTAGAAACCTGTTTGCCCTCTTAAGAGAATCAGTCGCTCTGCTGAAACTTGCTTGACTCTTTGGTGGGTATTGTTACTGTTATTTCATCTGGGCTTCGTTTTTAGAAGCCAGTATATCACTACTGTGAGGAAATTGTAAATCAGAGCTTGTGTTCTGTTATTTAAATAAAGATGGTCTAAGTGAAGAACATGAAATAGCTGTTGTGACACAGTTGTGCGGTACAGGAATAAAAGTTTTATGAGATGCTTCTTTGCTCATTTTAATGAAGAGGAAATCTGATTAATCAGGACGCAGTTACAGCTAAAACCAGTTTTTTTGCACACACTCTTAACTCATGACTACTTTTCTCACTGACACTAAATTAGACTACAGTCCTCTTATATTTTAGGGTTGGTAAATTGCCAGAATGATTTCTATTTTCTAAATTCAAGATTAATTAGATTTATTTTTTTTTTGGCAAAAAGCCTTAAATTTAAGGTACTGAATTATGACAAAGCTGCAGGTGTGCCTCTGATTAATTGATATATTGGTGAATAACTCAGGAAATATACATGGTGGTTATATTTGAGCCTGGAGTTTTAATCCTCCACTGTTTTGTTTTTTATTTTTGTTATAAAACCAGTGGAACTGCCCTTAGGCCCTGTGAATTGGATTTTGTTTGTGGTTTCCCTTCCCCTTTTTACTCCTTAACACACAGGACCATAACACAGAGGGCAGGTGAAGTTTGACCTGTTCTCCATCACTTTCCAAACCCACCTGATGGATGCAGTGATGCTTGGCCTAATTGTAGATTTAAGTTTGTCTTTGCAGCATAATTTACACACACATCCAGCTGTACTACACTGATACTGACAAATACAATAATATATATATACATATATATGTATTGCTATTTTGCAAGTTCTCCCACTTGGAAATCATGGAGGGGTGTAAAACTCATTGATGGCGCATGTCCACTGTGAGAGACATAATCTAAAAAATATCCATAAATCACTGTATACGAATTATTTCATTATTTACTTGTATGATACAGCTGCAAATAAGTATTTCAACACCTATCAGCTAGAATTCTGACCCTCGAAGACCTGTTAATCTGCCTTCAACATGTCCACCTGCCCTCCATTTATTCTAAATTAAATGCACATGTTTGAGGTCGTTAGATGCATAAAGACACCTGTCCATCCCACCCAAACAGTAAAAATCCAACTACTAACATGGCAAAGACCAAGGAATTGTCAAAGACACTAGAGACAAAATTGTAAACCTCCATAAGGCTGGAAAAGGCTAAGGATAAATTGCCAGCAGCTTGGTGAAAAAAGGAGCAAAGGTCCTCCGACAAAGTTTCCCTGTAGGAGCAATTATTAGAAAATGGAAGAAGCTAAACTCCCTAGGACTGGAAGCTCCATGCAAGATCTCACCTCATGGGGTCTCAATGATAATAGGAAAGGTGAGAAATCAGCCCAAAAATACACAGTAGGAGCTGGTAAATGACCTATAAAGAGCTGGGACCACAATTTCCATGGTTACTGTTGGTAATACACTAAGTTGTCAAGGTTTGAAACCATGCACGGCATGGAAGGTTTCGGTGTTTAAACCAGCACATGTCAAGGTCTTAAGTTTGTCAATGACCATTTGGATGATCCAGAGGAGTCATGGGAGAAAGTCATGTGGTCAGAAGAGACCAAAATAGAACTTTTGGTCATAATTCCTCTAACGGTGTTTGGAGGAAGAAGAATAATGACCACCATTCCTACTATGAAGCATGGGGGTGGTAGCATCATGCTTCGGAGGTATTTTTCTACACTTGGGACAGGGCGACTGCACCGTATAAAGGAGAAGATGACGAGGCCATGAATTGAGAGATTTTGGGGAAATATATCAAGGTTCTGGCGTGGCCTACTCAGTCCCTAGACTTAAACTCTACAGAGAATTTCTGGAAGGAGCTCAAACTCCATGTTTCTCAGCAACAGTCCAGAATCCTGACTGATCTAGAGAAGATCTGTGTGTAGGAGTGGGCCAAAATCCCTCCAATAGTGTGTGCAAAGCTGGTGAAAAACTACAGGAAACATTTGATCTCTGTAATTGCAAACAAAGACTACCATATCAAATATTAACATTGATTTTCTCAGGTGTTCAAATACTTATTTTCAGCAATATAGAAAAAAGGAATGGTAAAAAAAGAAAATCATTGTGATTTCTGGATTATTATTTTTTTGGATTATTTCTCTCACAGTGGACATGCACATACGATGACAATCTTAGATCCCTCCATGATTTCTAAGTGGGAGAACTTGCAAAATAGCAGGGTGTTCAGATACTTATTTTCCTCTCTGTATATGCTTTACCTTTTCTGCACCTTTACCTGCTGATTGGTCTCCAGTTTCTGTTGTGACCCTGAGGCCATCAAAACAAGTCTGAATGAAAAACACAGTTTTATAAACTCAAGAGAAAGTGACTCAGCAGAATAATAACACTGTTATACAATATATTTTTTAAGTAAAATGATTTTTAGGAAAACCTGAAGAGTTTTTAGAAAGACCAATGTTATGAAATGAAAACTAAGGGAAGTTGAAAGAGTCAAACACTCAGAAATAGATCCACGTTGTCCTCAGCTGACAGAGCTAACCACCAGTTACTGGGACAATACTGGAGGTGGAATTATTTCATTTATTTTGATGATTTGTTTTCTTGTTCTCTGTTTTTTTCTGTAAACACCTTCACCGAAAAATATCAATAATTCTTAAAGTTGCAGCACTGAGAGCTTGAAAACCCCACCACCCTCTCTGAACATGTCATCCAAATACTGTTTAGATTTAGCTATGACTGAATACCCGCCTTTGGCACTGCAGGTGCTTTTTTGTTTAGGTGTTTTTTGACAGCCTTTTTTGACACCCTTATTAAGCCTTTTACAAAATGACATGTGCAGTTTATATATAACTTTGTTAAAAAAAACAGGTTTCTTTGTCATAGCATTTCAAATGATGAACATCTTTGGAATGAGATGCAAAACAAACTGTCAGAATGACTAAAGTTTTCAGCTGCTGTTTGAAGTAGAGCTGCATTTAGACATATTGCTGCTCACCACTGGTTGCTTTTGCACTTTTCTCAATACAGCTAGTATTATTAAACATTATTTAAGCAGCAGTTAAACAATATCTACTTCATTGTGTTTTTTGTAAAGTTAGATTATTTCTTTTTTATGTTATTTGTTGAGATCATGAAAACTTAATTTCAATCAACATTATATCTAATATTGGCTTATGTTCACTAATAATCAATTATTTATGCAGTTTATTTCAACATAAACATCTAATGTTAAAAAAAAAAATAACCATGAAAAATAGTACTAAATGTAAGAAAAAAGAAGAAAATAACAGTACTGCTTTAGTTGGCAAATTTGAGAAAAAGGGAAAATGAACAAGCTTACATAATCCCATTCAATATAACTAAATAACATATTTTTTCTATATGATTTACAAAATAAAGTTACTATTTATATATAATACTAATATAAAAGTGTTTTTTGTCTATATATGTATACACTTCTATTATGCATACAATTAGACCCTCTTAAATGTATTCCTCAAATCTTTATTACATTATTATTTTATAATTAAACGTTTTCTTTAATAGATTAAACCTGAGGTGGCTCTAGTGGGGCATGGACCAATCATGTATGCTGTCCGTTAAAAACTAAATTTACTAAGGACTCGTGAATTATCAAACAGCATAAGATGGCTGATCAGACAGTTTGAGTGTAAAAGTGTTATCTGAAACCACACATGTGTTCCATTCAGATTATGCAAACGTGTTTTATCACCACCCCTAGTGACTCTGCAGTGTGCTTTGTGGGAAGAGGTTTTTATTATATGTCCCAAAAGAACAAGATAATTTTTAAGTTTGATATTTTTAGCTAATAGACAGATAACAGAGGTAAGAAGAAACCATGCGTTGGCCAAAACGATCTATTACCGTAACACCAAAAGGAAGTCTTATTTTCCAAGCCAACATAAATCCAGGGATAATATACAATAACCTGGTAACAGAAAGTGTAGTAATTCGAGTTTAAAAGCTGGAACTAAAGCACTAATATGGCGTATCTTTTTGATAAGACTTTGATTCTCCTTCAGGCGGCTTCATGTGACTGCCCACATGATTTGCTGCAGTTGTGATGCTTGCAGAGCAGTAGAACTGAGGAGGCTTTCAGGTAACGGAGCTTCAGGAAGTTTACTTCATGCTCAACCTTTTCCTCCCTCAATTTATTTCAAACATGCATTTGGTAACAAATGCTGGATTTCCATTTGGTAGTTGATATGTGTGTGCAGGATGAATCTCATTGCTATATGATTGAAAAAATTGTGAAAAATACAGTTTGAATAGTTTAAAACAACTTCATTTAGATAATAACAGCATGAATCATTTATTGAAAAGCACCAAAGAAAATACGTATTTGAATATATATAATATAGATGGATGGATAAATTGTTGTAAAGTTTTTATTTGACATGTTGCACAGCTGCTGTTTATGGAGTTTAGAATGAAATAAGTGTTTTAAATTAGGCCAGACTGGTTTGAAGACCTTTTGATTAATTCAATCCTCTTTTTAAAGCAGTAATTTGTATTACTTGGAGTATTTTTCTATGATGGAAACATGTAAATGATGACCTGAAACATACAGTCATGCAGAAAAAGAACAAAAAGCAGAAAATATATCTAGAAAATTAAACTGCCTTGATTGTAAAAACAACTTTGTCTGATCCAAGTATCCAGATGGTATCCAGATGGTATATATATATATAC